GGAAGCCTCACGCAGTATTACTCTGTTAACTCAGTGAAGTCGCGGTGAAATTGACTTCGAAACTCTATGCACAGAGCTCAGGCCTTTCGTTCATAGGGTCGCTGTGAGTCATCTACGACTCGACGGCACCTAACAATAACAACGATGACATAGAGAGAGCTACGTTGGCCTAGTGGACAGAAAGTTATGCTACCAAGCCGAAGGTGGGTGGGTAATTTTTAATCTGTGCTCCTCAGGCCTGGTTTAAATTGTTTTTCTATCAAACATTCTTCTAGGTGGTATAGCACTGGTCTGTGTATTACTATACAGAGGCAACTCGTGGTTGCTGTGATAGTGAACACTGTGACACTGATGTGCCAAATGTGATAATCATTGACCCACGGTGCACAGTGTTTGCTGGAGCTTCCCAATTAAAACAAGCCTGGAAGCAGGAGTGGCATCCACTTCCAAAATGAGCTGGAATTGACTGGACTCACAGCAGCAGCTACATAAAAGTTGACAGTGTAAAACCCACCCCATGGTGCTGCGGTACAAAAGCCTGGTGATCTGTTTCCAGAGCTGTGACCTTCAAGAAAGCCTCATGCAGGCAAGCTCTGGTGGCCTAGTGGCAAGAAGTTGCACTGCAATCCCAGAGGTACGCGGTTCAAATCCACTAGATGCTCTGCTGAAGGAGGAGGAACAATCACCTCCTGTACCAGTCAGATCCGATTTGACGGTACACACATTTTTAAAAAAGAGCGAGAGAGAGAGAGAAAGGAAGGAAAGAGAGAAAGGAGGAGAGAGAAAGAAAGGAGGGAGGGAGGGAGGGAAGGAAGGGAGAGAAAGAAAGAGAAAGAAAGCCTCATGCAGTATTACTCTGTTAACACAGTGAAGTCGCTGTGAAATAGAAAGAGAGAGAGAGAGAAAGAGCAAGCAAGCAAGCAAGCAAGCAAGCAAGCGAGCCTCATGCAGTATTACTCTGTTAACACAGTGAAGTCGCTGTGAAATAGGGAGGGAGGGAGGGAGGGAGGGAGGAAGGAAGGAAGGAAGAGAAAGAAAGCCTCATGCAGTATTACTCTGTTAACACAGTGAAGTCGCTGTGAAATAGAAAGAGAGAGAGAGAGAGAAAGAGCAAGCAAGCAAGCAAGCAAGCGAGCCTCATGCAGTATTACTCTGTTAA